AGATAGATAGATAGATAGATAGATAGTTGGATGGATGGATAGATAGATAGATAGATAGATAGATAGATAGATAGATAGATAGATAGATAGATAGATAGATAGATAGATAGATAGATAGATAGATAGATAGTTGGATGGATGGATAGATAGATAGATAGATAGATAGATAGATAGATAGATAGATAGATAGATAGATAGATAGATAGATAGATAGATAGATAGATAGATAGATAGATAGATAGATAGATAGATAGTTAGATAGATAGATAGATAGATAGATAGATAGATAGATAGATTAGTACTTTATTGTTTATATGTTTGGGTTACAGCAGCATAAAAAACACAAGGCAATGTACATAAGAGAAACTAAGACACAGAAATAAACAGTCCAATATATTTCAGAAATAGAAATACAATAGCATACACAGTTTAAAGTAATTGTACACTTTTGATAATTGTACTCAATTCATATGGAGTTTATATACAGTATAACGTATCCATGAAGTCATAATGAAAGTCCACAATGGGGAAAGCCGCACGTCTTACATATTCATCACTCCAAGGTTAGCTGTGCAGGAGGCCACTTTGCCCGTTTGCAAGTGCAGGGTAGGTATTAGCACAGTGGGGCATGGTATTCACTGTGAGAATAGGACCCTGCATGATCACATTCAGCCACAGGACTTGGGGTAATTATAAAAAGTTGAAGGAACATACATAGCTTCAAGCTGCTGGAGTTCAGCCCGGCCTGGAAAAGAAAACCCAAGTGTTGCTCACAGCGTTAGAGCGAATAACTAAAGCTCCCCTCTCAAATCCGTCACCCAGGTATTGGCAGGAGCCGCCCTAATAAGCAGCTGCCTTCTGAACAAAAGGCAGGAGAGATATAGGTTAGGTGTAGTACCAAACTGGGGTTGTTTTTTTACCTCCCGCTAGCTAATTGATGACCTAGATAGCGGAGGCAGACAGCTGTATAACTCACTGGTAAAGGAAAAAAAGGAGAGGGGGAGAAAAGGAAAAGCATCGCTCTCCTTTTGTCTTCCTGACCATCTCATCCCGAGCAAAGGTTGTATGACTTTGATGGGTGTCTGCACAGAACATACCTCCACACAGCAATGCATAACATTTATTTTTTTACGGCCGGTAAAGCGGTGACCTTGTGAAGTAATCCGAGCCGGGAAGCTTCTGATAGTCGGAGAAACGCCGGAGGCAGACGAGTTCAATGCTAGCTCGAACATGCACGTTATGATAATTTGTTTTAATGTATTCAAACATTCAGGAACATGCAGTTTGAAAGATTGAGGACATGTTTCTCACTGATAACTGTCAAGTAAAGTTCTGATTTTACAAAGAAAACTGTATATTTTAATATATTCATAGTTAATTTTTACATTTCCAATCAGAATGATAAATAAGCAGTCCAATGGTAATGATTTGTGTGGTTAATAATCCCTTCTTCATGTTTGTAGTAAACTTGTTTGATCTCTAGAAACATATATCTGCATATGAATACAGAATCTGTAGTCTACAGGATTTCGGTATCAAAAGCGTTTTGATTGCTGCTAAGACATCTGCATTTCTCTACATGGATCAAAAAGGGTTTATCTCATCTTATCTTCTGTTTGTAGTCCAAGAAGTATTGACCAATCCCGTTTGAGTTAGCTTTGGTTGCATTGAAGTCAACAATAGGGACCCAAGGTATTGTTAAACAATTATCTTAAGATTAGTTTATAAGCTAGCTTGTAAATTGGCTCCTTCTAAGACAACCTGACGTTTTCTTTCGACTACAAATTAGTTGGTTAAGCTACTGGTGAGATGTTATTGATTGTTGTGTCTGTTCTCTGTCTAGAGGGGCACTCTGATTTTACATTTCCAAGTCAGGGGAGACCCTGTAAAAATAGTTGTCTTCTGTAGCTCTGAAGGGAACTTTATCAAGTCTTAAAGGTCCCCTATCATACTGTTTCCCATCAATATATTATAGGTCTCAGATATATCCAGAGCCTGTCTCTGATTGGCTGAAACACCAAACAGATCATTGCAGCATTACCCATAATCCCCTCTGTTTCAGCCCTGTTTCAAAAGTGCTGATTCTCTGTCTGTTACTTTAGATGAAAATAAGGAGCCCCTCCCCACGCCCCTCTGAGAGAGATTTGGTTACAAAGAACTCAATGGTGCTCTAGGAGGAGATTCAGGTGATAAGGTGGGGGGGGGGTTACCTTGGTTGCTGATTGGCTAATGGTTACACAAGACAAAACATCGTTATGACATCATAAAGTGGCCAAAATCTGATCAGCTCATTTTCAGACAGGTTTTTATAGAAATGGATCAAAAAGAGAGAGAATCTTTGTTCCTGAAACTTTCAGAGTCTCTTTCCACAGAGGGGACACATGTTGATGAAGAAGAGACATGAAGAAGAGGGGACACATGTTGATGAAGAAGAGACATGAAGAAGAGGGGACACATGTTGATGTAGAAGAGACATGAAGAAGAGGGGACACATGTTGATGAAGAAGAGACATGAAGAAGAGGGGACACATGTTGATGAAGAAGAGACATGAAGAAGAGGGGACACATGTTGATGAAGAAGAGACATGAAGAAGAGGGGACACATGTTGATGAAGAAAGAGACATGAAGAAGAGGGGACACATGTTGATGAAGAAGAGACATGAAGAAGAGGGGACACATGTTGATGAAGAAGAGACATGAAGAAGAGGGGACACATGTTGATGAAGAAGAGACATGAAGAAGAGGGGACACATGTTGATGTAGAAGAGACATGAAGAAGAGGGGACACATGTTGATGAAGAAGAGACATGAAGAAGAGGAGACACATGTTGATGTAGAAGAGACATGAAGAAGAGGGGACACATGTTGATGAAGAAGAGACATGAAGAAGAGGAGACACATGTTGATGTAGAAGAGACATGAAGAAGAGGGGACACATGTTGATGAAGAAGAGACATGAAGAAGAGGGGACACATGTTGATGAAGAAGAGACATGAAGAAGAGGGGACACATGTTGATGTAGAAGAGACATGAAGAAGAGGGGACACATGTTGATGTAGAAAGGACATGAAGAAGAGGGGACACATGTTGATGAAGAAGAGACATGAAGAAGAGGGACACATGTTGATGTAGAAGAGACATGAAGAAGAGGGGACACATGTTGATGAAGAAGAGACATGAAGAAGAGGGGACACATGTTGATGAAGAAGAGACATGAAGAAGAGGGGACACATGTTGATGTAGAAAGGACATGAAGAAGAGGGGACACATGTTGATGAAGAAGAGACATGAAGAAGAGGGGACACATGTTGATGTAGAAGAGACATGAAGAAGTGGATTTTTCATAATAGGTGACCTTTAAGATCACATGTGTAACCTAGGGACTAAAAACTGAATATTGGGAAGTGAGTGAATAAAGGTTTGCTGGTGTTCAAGGTTCAGTACAGTTTCTGTAATGTCTGGCCAGTTCAATGTTCTTAAATTGTATTTTTTGCGGGACATCTACCTTTCAAAGGGTTGAATACATAGTTTGGATTTTTGAAGTGGGGTTTGACGAGGTACTAATCCAAAGTTAGGGTTTAGCAACTGTACATGTACATGCCGGTCTCTACGCCACCATGTCTCAAATGTCATATGTGTTCATGACTATAATCATCTTAGTGATGTCCACTCCATAGCTGATGGGCCCCTCAGTGTCTAACATGATATTCTAACGTAAACAAATCACATGAATAAAGTAAAGACACCAGGATACTCTTACAAATGTATGTTTCGGACAGTCTCATCCATCATCTGACTCTTTAGTCCATTGTTTTTGTCTAATTCTACCCTAACTAGCATTGGTTATTTGTGGTTTACTACATACATACATACATACATACATACATACATACATACATACATACATACATACATACATACATACATACATACATACATACATACATACATAACTCATTTCTAAATTGTTCAAAAACGTTTTAGATGCAGTAACTCGAGCTACATCTGTATAGGTCCAAAACAATGCATCTTGGTTGTAGATTTCTACCATGGGTAACTCAACATGTTAGAAAATGATTGTATTTTTTTTAAAGGCATCATTTCCCCCAGGGATGCTACATTTAGCCTTCCCATTATCACCTGCTCCAACCAATTTATTGATTTAATAAAACGTTGTCAGCTGCCAAATCCCAGTGAAGAAGAAAAATAGTTGATCACCTTCAGTTGTTGCCATGGAAACTATATAAGTAAGTGTGGGGAGTTTTTTTGTCAGGCTTCCTCACCTGATTAGTGGAAAGTTGTCAGGTCAGTCATTTCATCATTTATTTTATTTACAGTTGATATTGTTCTGTGAAGCCACTGGACTGAACATCAGGGAAATTGCTTTTTTTTTTATCACTTTCTATCCCTATACGTTTTTTGTCTAACCCTATTATCTACTTTATTGGACTTTTACAAGTTGGATCTTGCCCGAAGTCTCATTACTGTCTACTGTGTTGTAACTTATGAAACAAAAAAAATCTCTCAGATAAAAATGTAATTATTCGTCACATAAATCATGAAAAGCATAATGAATAAGTGACAGGCGTATTCATTACATCAATTTGATTATTGGATAAATGCAGATACAATCCATTTAAAGGGTGTTTTCTCCAATTCTTCTTCATGTTTTTATACCACCAGCTTCATAGAAATAATGATACCAGTTTCACTACATTTTCTATATTGATATGATACGATGAAATGGTTTCCTTTTCCTCTTTATTGAATCCACCGTGTCCTTCATCTCCATCAAAAGGTGACACGGTGAACCTGGGATGTAAGACGTCTCAGAAATACTTCAATTCTGATCCAATCAAAACAGGGACAGGAAAAATGCTGAGACGTTTTCATTAGCTTCTTCAGTGGCCTGGCTTCTGCTTGAGCATCAGAAAATGTCTTTATCTCAAACACACAGATTCTGATTTATCGGCTCTCTCTCTCTCTCTCTCTGTTGCAGTTTAACTTTGTCGGCAAACTCCTCGGGCCACGCGGGAACTCGTTAAAGAGACTACAGGAGGACACACTCACAAAGATGTCGATTCTGGGGAAAGGATCCATGAGAGAGAAAGAAAAGGTAACACTCTACTTTCTTTTCCTTTCACTCATTCACCTCCTTTTATGTTGCTGCTGTTTGAAGTAACAGTGTGTTGGACTGTCCTTTACACTTTTAGATATACACACATCTCGATAGTGCTCTAGTTCAAGTGTTCTCAATATTCCAAAATATACCAGATTACTTTACACAAGATTACAGCTTCTTCATTTAAAGAGTCCTCTTCTGCTGATGTTCAGGTGTATATCAGTATGTAGTGTCTCTACTTTAAAGAGTCCTCTCCTGCTGATGTTCAGGTGTATATCAGTATGTAGTGTCTCTACTTTAAAGAGTCCTCTCCTGCTGATGTTCAGGTGTATATCAGTATGTAGTGTCCTCTACTTTAAAGAGTCCTCTCCTGCTGATGTTCAGGTGTATATCAGTATGTAGTGTCTCTACTTAAAGAGTCCTCTCCTGCTGATGTTCAGGTGTATATCAGTATGTAGTGTCTCTACTTTAAAGAGTCCTCTCCTGCTGATGTTCAGGTGTATATCAGTATGTAGTGTCTCTACTTTAAAGAGTCCTCTCCTGCTGATGTTCAGGTGTATATCAGTATGTAGTGTCTCTACTTTAAAGAGTCCCTCTCCTGCTGATGTTCAGGTGTATATCAGTATGTAGTGTCTCTACTTTAAAGAGTCCTCTCCTGCTGATGTTCAGGTGTATATCAGTATGTAGTGTCTCTACTTTAAAGAGTCCTCTCCTGCTGATGTTCAGGTGTATATCAGTATGTAGTGTTTCTACTTTAAAGAGTCCTCTCCTGCTGATGTTCAGGTGTATATCAGTATGTAGTGTCTCTACTTTAAAGAGTCCTCTCCTGCTGATGTTCAGGTGTATATCAGTATGTAGTGTCTCTACTTTAAAGAGTCCTCTCCTGCTGATGTTCAGGTGTATATCAGTATGTAGTGTCTCTACTTTAAAGAGTCTCTCTCCTGCTGATGTTCAGGTGTATATCAGTATGTAGTGTCTCTACTTTAAAGAGTCCTCTCCTGCTGATGTTCAGGTGTATATCAGTATGTAGTGTCTCTACTTTAAAGAGTCCCTCTCCTGCTGATGTTCAGGTGTATATCAGTATCTAGTGTCTCTACTTTAAAGAGTCCTCTCCTGCTCATGTTCAGGTGTATATCAGTATGTAGTGTCTCTACTTTAAAGAGTCCTCTCCTGCTGATGTCCAGGTGTATATCAGTATGTAGTGTCTCTACTTTAAAGAGTCCTCTCCTGCTGATGTTCAGGTGTATATCAGTATGTAGTGTCTCTACTTTAAGAGTCCTCTCCTGCAGATGTTCAGGTGTATATCAGTATGTAGTGTCTCTACTTTAAAGAGTCCTCTCCTGCTGATGTTCAGGTGTATATCAGTATGTAGTGTCTCTACTTTAAAGAGTCCTCTCCTGCTGATGTTCAGGTGTATATCAGTATGTAGTGTCTCTACTTTAAAGAGTCCTCTCCTGCTGATGTTCAGGTGTATATCAGTATGTAGTGTCTCTACTTTAAAGAGTCCTCTCCTGCTGATGTTCAGGTGTATATCAGTATGTAGTGTCTCTACTTTAAAGAGTCCTCTCCTGCTGATGTTCAGGTGTATATCAGTATGTAGTGTCTCTACTTTAAAGAGTCCTCTCCTGCTGATGTTCAGGTGTATATCAGTATGTAGTGTCTCTACTTGAAAGAGTCCTCTCCTGCAGATGTTCAGGTGTATATCAGTATGTAGTGTCTCTACTTTAAAGAGTCCTCTCCTGCTGATGTTCAGGTGTATATCAGTATGTAGTGTCTCTACTTTAAAGAGTCCTCTCCTGCAGATGTTCAGGTGTATATCAGTATGTAGTGTCTCTACTTTAAAGAGTCCTCTCCTGCAGATGTTCAGGTGTATATCAGTATGTAGTGTCTCTACTTTAAAGAGTCCTCTCCTGCTGATGTTCAGGTGTATATCAGTATGTAGTGTCTCTACTTTAAAGAGTCCTCTCCTGCTGATGTTCAGGTGTATATCAGTATGTAGTGTCTCTACTTTAAAGAGTCCTCTCCTGCTGATGTTCAGGTGTATATCAGTATGTAGTGTCTCTACTTTAAAGAGTCCTCTCCTGCTGATGTTCAGGTGTATATCAGTATGTATTGTCTCTACTTTTAAAGAGTCCTCTCCTGCTGATGTTCAGGTGTATATCAGTATGTAGTGTCTCTACTTTAAAGAGTCCTCTCCTGCTGATGTTCAGGTGTATATCAGTATGTAGTGTCCTCTACTTTAAAGAGTCCTCTCCTTCAGATGTTCAGGTGTATATCAGTATGTAGTGTCTCTACTTTAAAGAGTCCTCTCCTGCAGATGTTCAGGTGTATATCAGTATGTAGTGTCTCTACTTTAAAGAGTCCTCTCCTGCTGATGTTCAGGTGTATATCAGTATGTAGTGTCTCTACTTTAAAGAGTCCTCTCCTGCTGATGTTCAGGTGTATATCAGTATGTAGTGTCTCTACTTTAAAGAGTCCTCTCCTGCTGATGTTCAGGTGTATATCAGTATGTAGTGTCTCTACTTTAAAGAGTCCTCTCCTGCTGATGTTCAGGTGTATATCAGTATGTATTGTCTCTACTTTAAAGAGTCCTCTCCTGCTGATGTTCAGGTGTATATCAGTATGTAGTGTCTCTACTTTAAAGAGTCCTCTCCTGCTGATGTTCAGGTGTATATCAGTATGTAGTGTCTCTACTTTAAAGAGTCCTCTCCTGCTGATGTTCAGGTGTATATCAGTATGTAGTGTCTCTACTTTAAAGAGTCCTCTCCTGCTGATGTTCAGGTGTATATCAGTATGTAGTGTCTCTACTTTAAAGAGTCCTCTCCTGCTGATGTTCAGGTGTATATCAGTATGTATTGTCTCTACTTTAAAGAGTCCTCTCCTGCTGATGTTCAGGTGTATATCAGTATGTAGTGTCTCTACTTTAAAGAGTCCTCTCCTGCTGATGTTCAGGTGTATATCAGTATGTAGTGTCTCTACTTTAAAGAGTCCTCTCCTGCTGATGTTCAGGTGTATATCAGTATGTAGTGTCTCTACTTTAAAGAGTCCTCTCCTGCTGATGTTCAGGTGTATATCAGTATGTAGTGTCTCTACTTTAAAGAGTCCTCTCCTGCTGATGTTCAGGTGTATATCAGTATCTAGTGTCTCTACTTTAAAGAGTCCTCTCCTGCTCATGTTCAGGTGTATATCAGTATGTAGTGTCTCTACTTTAAAGAGTCCTCTCCTGCTGATGTCCAGGTGTATATCAGTATGTAGTGTCTCTACTTTAAAGAGTCCTCTCCTGCTGATGTTCAGGTGTATATCAGTATGTAGTGTCTCTACTTTAAAGAGTCCTCTCCTGCAGATGTTCAGGTGTATATCAGTATGTAGTGTCTCTACTTTAAAGAGTCCTCTCCTGCTGATGTTCAGGTGTATATCAGTATGTAGTGTCTCTACTTTAAAGAGTCCTCTCCTGCTGATGTTCAGGTGTATATCAGTATGTAGTGTCTCTACTTTAAAGAGTCCTCTCCTGCTGATGTTCAGGTGTATATCAGTATGTAGTGTCCTCTACTTTAAAGAGTCCTCTCCTGCTGATGTTCAGGTGTATATCAGTATGTAGTGTCTCTACTTTAAAGAGTCCTCTCCTGCTGATGTTCAGGTGTATATCAGTATGTAGTGTCTCTACTTTAAAGAGTCCTCTCCTGCTGATGTTCAGGTGTATATCAGTATGTAGTGTCTCTACTTGAAAGAGTCCTCTCCTGCAGATGTTCAGGTGTATATCAGTATGTAGTGTCTCTACTTTAAAGAGTCCTCTCCTGCTGATGTTCAGGTGTATATCAGTATGTAGTGTCTCTACTTTAAAGAGTCCTCTCCTGCAGATGTTCAGGTGTATATCAGTATGTAGTGTCTCTACTTTAAAGAGTCCTCTCCTGCAGATGTTCAGGTGTATATCAGTATGTAGTGTCTCTACTTTAAAGAGTCCTCTCCTGCTGATGTTCAGGTGTATATCAGTATGTAGTGTCTCTACTTTAAAGAGTCCTCTCCTGCTGATGTTCAGGTGTATATCAGTATGTAGTGTCTCTACTTTAAAGAGTCCTCTCCTGCTGATGTTCAGGTGTATATCAGTATGTAGTGTCTCTACTTTAAAGAGTCCTCTCCTGCTGATGTTCAGGTGTATATCAGTATGTAGTGTCTCTACTTTAAAGAGTCCTCTCCTGCTGATGTTCAGGTGTATATCAGTATGTAGTGTCTCTACTTTAAAGAGTCCTCTCCTGCTGATGTTCAGGTGTATATCAGTATGTAGTGTCTCTACTTAAAGAGTCCTCTCCTGCTGATGTTCAGGTGTATATCAGTATGTAGTGTCTCTACTTTAAAGAGTCCTCTCCTGCTGATGTTCAGGTGTATATCAGTATGTATTGTCTCTACTTTAAAGAGTCCTCTCCTGCTGATGTTCAGGTGTATATCAGTATGTAGTGTCTCTACTTTAAAGAGTCCTCTCCTGCTGATGTTCAGGTGTATATCAGTATGTAGTGTCTCTACTTTAAAGAGTCCTCTCCTGCTGATGTTCAGGTGTATATCAGTATGTAGTGTCTCTACTTTAAAGAGTCCTCTCCTGCTGATGTTCAGGTGTATATCAGTATGTAGTGTCTCTACTTTAAAGAGTCCTCTCCTGCTGATGTTCAGGTGTATATCAGTATCTAGTGTCTCTACTTTAAAGAGTCCTCTCCTGCTCATGTTCAGGTGTATATCAGTATGTAGTGTCTCTACTTTAAAGAGTCCTCTCCTGCTGATGTCCAGGTGTATATCAGTATGTAGTGTCTCTACTTTAAAGAGTCCTCTCCTGCTGATGTTCAGGTGTATATCAGTATGTAGTGTCTCTACTTTAAAGAGTCCTCTCCTGCAGATGTTCAGGTGTATATCAGTATGTAGTGTCTCTACTTTAAAGAGTCCTCTCCTGCTGATGTTCAGGTGTATATCAGTATGTAGTGTCTCTACTTTAAAGAGTCCTCTCCTGC